AAGTAGGCAGAGAGGCAAGCAGAGAGAGAGGAAGGGAAGCAGGCTCCCCACTGAGCAGAGAGCCCGATGCGGGGCTCAACCCCAGGACCCTGAGATCATGACCCCAGCCGAAGGCAGAGGCTTTAACCCACTGAGCCACCCAGGTGCCCCTGCAATGGTTATTCTTAGAATTGCTACAAATGCAAGAAATTCCAAGAAATTCCTGCTTATCTGGCCCTCCAGAATTTTGGCACAGGTTTCTTCCAGAGGGACATTTTTTTCTTATGTCATTTCTCTATCAGGGAAGTAGTTGAGTAGAAAGAACACCAAACTAAGAATGTGGATCTCCTAGGGAGACTGGGATACTCTTTTGCTCCTCCAAACCCTCCCTCCCCACTTTCTTCTCAGGCCTCGGCTCTGTTCTGTCTCTGGGTCCCTGTTTCCCTGCGTGGGGATCTGAGCATCTCGGTGTCCATCTCTCTTCCGGTGACCCTGCTGTGTGTGTCTTTCTTTGCGGTGTACAGGAGAAGAATGAGGCACAAACACGTCAGCTGTAAGAGAGAGGGAGCCGGGACGACAGCTAGAAGGGCTGTATTTATGAGATACAAGATAACAACCAACAAAGGAGAAGAAGTATATATAATAGTCATAGGTCTTGTGAGTAAACAAGAAGGAATGTGAGTCAAGCATTGATCACAAGTCTTACAGGTAAACAAAAAGAAGAGTAGGGGGTGACTGGTCAAGGAGCAGGGAATTTGTAGTTGAGCAAGTGCACTTAAAGGGATTATTCTAACAGCAGACTTTCTTTGAGGCTGGGGAGGCAACGAAAAAGGAAACCCCGAGGTGTCCTACCCTGAGTGGGCCTGGCATCCCCAGTGGCTCAGCTTCAAGGATGTATATCATCCTCTCCACCAGAGGCCTGCTGCTAGTACATGTTTTTCTCAAGGTGATCTTTAAGCATGCTTGCATGACCAGTACAAATTCTCATTAGTTATGTTTTTTTTTTTCTTAAAGATTATTTATTTACTTGACAGACAGAGATCACAAGTAGGCAGAGAAGCAGGCAGAGAGGGAAAGGGAAGCAGGCTCCCTGCAGAGTTAGTGTTTGGTGAAGTCTGTGTGTGATAAGTCAAGGTTGAGGCCTAGTTGAGAAGAGGGCACAGTGGACATTGGCTAGAGTTTGGTCAAGGAGAAAGTCTTTGTCAGTGTAAAGATAGTTTGCTTCTTCATATGTAGTTTGCATGTACCACGATTTATTGATCTGTTCATCTGATGATTAGACATTTCATTGTATCCAAGTTTTTGGTCATTGTGAATAAGCTACAACAAACTTTCTTACAGAAATCTTAAATTTCTCCTGAACTTGCTTAGTGGGATTGCTTAGTCACAGGGTGGGGATATATCGAAGTGCTGGCCTAGTGTCTTTTGGGTTTTCCCCATAAAGCATCATGTCATCTGCAAAGAGTGAGTTTGACTTCTTTGCCCATTCGAATACCTTTTATTTCTTTTTGTTGTCTGATTGCTGAGACTAGGACTTCTAGTTGAACAAATATGGTGAGAGTGGGCATCCCTGTCATGTTCCTGACCTTAGGGGAAAAGCTCTCAGTTTTTCCCCACTGAGAATGATACTCACTGTGGGCTTTTCATAGATGGCTTTTATGTTGTTGAGGTATGTTCCCTCTATCCCTACACTGTGAATTTTAATCCAGAAAGGATGCTGCATATTGTCCAATGCTTTTTCTGCATCAAGTGAGAAGATCATATGGCTCTTGACCTTTCTTTTATTAATGTGATGTGTTATGTTGATTTGATTTGTGAATGTTGAACCACCTGTACATCCCAGGAATAAATCCCACTTGGTTGTGGTGAGTAGTCCTTTCAACGTTACTTCCGTGGGGTCTTGGTCTGGTTTGGGGATCAAGGTCATGCTGGCCTTACAGAACAAGCAGGAAAGTATTCCTTCCACTTCTGTTTTTTGAAACACCCTCAGAAGAATAAGTGTTAGTTTTTCTTTAAATGTTTGGTAGAATTCCCCTGGGAAGCCATCTGGCCCTAGACTCTTGTGTGCTGGGAGATTTTTGATCACTGCTTCAGTTTCCTTGCTGGTTATGGGTCTGTTCAGATTTTCTATTTCTTCCCTATTCAATTTTGGTAGTTCGTAAGTTTCCAGGAATGCATCTGTTTCTTCTGGATTACCTAATTTGTTGTCATGTAGTTGCTCATAATATGTTCTTAAAATTGTTTGTATTTCCTTGGTGTTGGTCGTGACCTCTCCTCTTTCATTCATGATATTATTCTGGGTCCTTTCCCCTTTCTTTTGGATAAGTCTGGCTGGGGGTTCTTCAATCTTATTAATTTCAAAACCAGCTCCTAGTTTCATTGATCTGTTCTACTGTACTTCTGGTTTCTATTTCATTGATTTCTGCTCTAATCTTTGCAATTTCTCTTCTGCTTGGGTTAGGCTTTATTTGCTCCTCTTTTCCCAGCTCCTTTAGGTGTTAGGATAGCTTGTGTATTTGAGACTTTTCTTATTTTTTTTTAAATATTTTATTTATTTATTTGACAGAAGAGATCACAAGTGGGCAGAGAGGCAGGCAAAGAGAGAGAGAGGAGGAGGAAGCAGGCTCCCTGCCAAGCAGAGAGCCCGATGCAGGACTCGATCCCAGGACCCTGAGATCATGACCTAAGTCGAAGGCAGAGGCTTAACCCACTGAGCCACCCAGGTGCCCTTCTTATTTTTTGATAAAGTTTTGCATTGCTATGTACTTTCCTCTTAGGACCACCTTTGCTATATCCCAAAGGTTTTGAACACCTGTGTTTTCATTTTCATTCATTTCCATGAATTTTTAACATTCTTCCTTAAATTCCTAGCTGAGCCATTCATTCTTCAGTAGGATGCTCTTTAGTCTCCAAGTCTTTGAGTTTCTTCCAAATGTCGTCTTGTGATCAAGTTCCAGTTTCAAAGCATTGTGGTCTGAAAATATGCAGGGAATAATCCAAGTCTTTTGGTATCAGTTGAGACCCAATTTATGACTCAGTATGTGATCTATTCTGGAGAACGTTCCATGTGCACTGGAGAAGAATGTGTATTCTGTGGCTTTAGGATAGAATACTCTGTAGGTATATATCTGTTAAGTCCCTCTGATCCAGTGTGTCATTCAGAGCCCTTGTTTTCTTGTTGACCCTCTGCTTAGATGATCTGTCCATTCTGAGTGGGATGTTGAAGTCCCCTATGATTATTGTATTATTATCAAAGTGTTTCTTTAATTTGGTTATTAATTGGCTTAATTAATTGGCTACTCCCAAGGTAGGAGCACAAATATTTGTAATTCTTAGAACTTTTTGTTGGGTATAGACCCTTTAAGCATGCTATAGCATCCTTCTTCATCCCTTACTACAGTCTTTGGTTTAAAATCTAATTTGTCTGATATGAGGATTGCTACCCCAGCTTTCTTTTGAGGTTTATTATCCTGACAAATAGATCTCTACCCCCTCACTTTCAATCTGGAGATGTCTTTAGGTTTAAAATGAGTCTCTTGTAGATAGCATATCCAGTCTGATACCCTGTGTCTTTTTAAAAAATTAATTAATTAATTAATTAATTAATTAATTTGTCAGAGAGAGAGAGAGAGATAGCGAGTGCACAAGCAGGCAGAGTGGCAGGCAGAGGCAGAGAGAAGCAGGCTTCCTGCCAAGCAAGGAGTCTGATGGGGGACTTGATCCCAGGACCCTGGGATCATGACCTGAGCTGAAGGCAGCAGCTTAACTGACTGAGCCCCCCAGATGTCCCACCCTGTGTCTTTTGATTGGAGCATTTACCCCATTTACATTCAGAATAACTACTGAGAGATATGAATTGAGTGCCATTGTATTACCTCTAAAGTCTGTGTGTCTGTAGATTGTCTCTGTTTCTTCCCAGTCGCTCTTACTTTTGGGCTCTCTCCTCGCTTCGAAGATCCCCTCTAATATTTTTTTACAGGGCTGGCATTCAGTTTCTCTTTGTCCAGAAAGCCCTTTATCTCTCTTTCCATTCTGAATGACAGCCTTGCTGGATAAAGTATTCTTTGCTGTATTTTTTTCTCATTTAGTACCCCAAAGATATCTGCCAGCCCTTTCTGGCTTCCCAGTTCTCTGTGGATAGGTCTGCTGCCAGCCTAATGTTGCCACACCTGTAGGTTAGGAACCTTTTGTCTTGAGATGCTTTCAGGATTTTCTCTTTGTCTCTGAAAATTTGCAGGCTTCACTACTATGTGTTGCGGTGTTGATCTATTTTCATTGATTTTGAAAGGGGTCCTCTCTAGGTCTTGAACTGGTATGCCTGCATCCTTCCCCAGATGAGGGAAGTTTCCAGCTATGATTTGTTTAAATATATTCTGTGTGTGTATCTCTCTATCTCCTCAGGGACCACAATTCTAACATTGTTTCACGTTTGGTTTTGCTGATTTCTTGAAGTCTCCCCTCATGGTCCATTAATTGCTTTTCTCTCTTGTCCTCAGCTTCCTTCCTTTCCATCCACTTGTCTTCTACGTCATTTCCTCTCTCTTCTGCCTCATGTACTGCAGCTGTTAGAGCATCCATTTTAGACTGCATCTCAGTTAAAGCATTTTTAATTTCAGCCTGATTACATGTTATTTCTGCACTAAGAGATCTTTCTAGTGTCTTTATGCTTTTTTCAAGCCCAGCTAGTAACCTTATAATCGTTATTCCAAATTCCAGCTTTGACATTTTACTTATGGATTAGATCTGTGGCAGAGAGTATTTCCTCTGGTTCTTTCTTTTGTTGTGAATTCATCCTCCTACTCATTTTGCCCAGAGAAGAATCGATGAACAAGAGAGGAAAATAAAAAAATGTCAACCATGACCCAAGCAAAATACACACTAGTGCAATTCAAAGAGGTCAGAAACCAAAAACTAAAGAAAAAGTAAATGTGGGGATGGGGGTGGTGAAAAGAGAATATAAACTCCCAGGTGGTCAAACCTCCGGGAGGTACTGGGTTGTTAAAAGACACCAAATCTGGGACGCCTGGGTGGCTCAGTCAGTTAAGCTGCTGCCTTCGGCTCAGGCCATGATCCCAGGGTCCTAGGATCGAGTCCCGCATCGGGCTCATTGCTCTGCAGGGAGCCTGCTTCTCTCTCTGCTTGTGCATGTGTTCTCTCTCTCTCTTTCTCTGACAAAAAACAAACAAACAAAAACACCCCACCAAATCCCAAAAGTGTAAAATCACCAAAGTTACATATATACAAACATAACACTGAATACAGTGAAAGGAAGCTAAAAATGAAGAAGATATCTAAATGTAAATATAGAAAATGAAAATTTAAAAAGACAGAAGAGTTGAAAAAAAAAGGGTTGATAAGAAACTAATTGGAATGGAAAAAAGAAAAAAATGGAAAGGAAAAAGTTTAGACTGAAAGATAAATCATGAAAAAACCCTTGAATTCTATTTACTGTTTTCCCCTAGTGTTGGAACTTTGCACTCCTGTGTGCTCCCAAACTTGGGGGTTCACCTGTTCTTCCAGGTGTTTTCTGGGGAAAGGGCCTGCTGTGCGATTCTCAGGTATCTCTGCCTGGGGGGAGTTGTGCCGCCCCTTGCCAGGGGGCCAGGCTCAGTGTAAACGGCTTCTGGTTGCTCTGTGCCACTCTTGTTCCCTGAAGGCTTTGTGGGCCACTTTATAGGATGAAAATAAAAATGCCTGTGCCCTGATTTCCAGCCCCAGAGCTGAAAGATCTCGGTCCACTCTTTTCAGTAAACCGTTAGGGATAAGCAACCTTCACTTTTGTGTGTGCCAGACTCTGCAGTCTCCTGTGGCTCGTGCCTGCCCCAGTCCTCCTGGGAGAAGGCAGAGGTCACCGCTCTTTCTGTCCTATGCAGGGCACGCCCACAACAGCTACTGCCCAACCTAGCCACGGTTTGTGGATTATGGCAAACCTTGTCAAGAACTCCCTCCTCTGCTCCCCGACCCTATCCAATTTCCCCACTCCAATGCCTGGGAACTCTGCCGGCTCAGACACCCCATGCTTCTGTGACCCCGGGGTCCTGACACCACACTGTCCCACCTTGGATTTTGCCCCACCTCACTGCCTGGGCAAGGATGGCTCTCACTGGAACAGATTTCTAAAGGTTCTGATTTTATGCTTTAGGGCTACCTCACCTTCCTGTGGCCGGCTTCCACAGGCTCCCTCTCTGCACAGAGGATCTTCCCACATATCCCTGCAGATTCATTTCTCTGCACCTCCTACATTGCAAAAAGTGGTCACTTTTCTATCTGTACAATTCCAACAGTTCTTTCCTTTTGTCCCAGGTTGAATTCATAGGTGTTCAGAATGATTTGATAGTTATCTAGTTAAATTCAAGGGACCAGATGAAATGAGGTCCTCTACCAGTGCACCGTCTTGCCTTCTTCCCTCAGTTTATTCCTTTGTTTAAAAATATTTATTTAGAGAGTGAACGGGGGCGGGGTAAGGGCCAGAGGGAGAGAGAGAATCCTGAAGCAGACTCCAATAAGCAGAGTCCAACATGGGGCTCGATTCCAGGACCTAAACGAAGAGTTGGCAGACTGAACCACCCAGGTGCCCCTCCATTTGGTATAAATGTTAAGGACATTTATTAATTCACAAGATATCCGATGAGGGGCAGAGCAGGCTCCAGGCCCGCAATAACTTGGCATGCTTCTAGGTATCCAGTCTCCTTCTGCTATTTCTCCTTATCCTGAGGTCCACTCCTAGCTGCCAGAAGACCTTCAGTGTTAATCTGGGCTTCAGTTCCCTGGCTTAGAACACTAAAACTTTGGTTTATTGTACAGTAGACTGGGGAGAGTTTAGGCAACCACAGCATTTTCCAGGTTGTATAGATCAGAGTTTAGGCTATTGCAGCATTTTCTAGGTTGTAGCTGTTGTGTTTATTGGTTCCTGGTTTTCCCACTATGACCTGCTTAAGGGATGTGGAAGGACTGGTATGTGATTCAGAGCCAGGGGAAGTGCTTACTCATTCATGAGTTTTAGGAAAAATTATTAGCAAACAATCCTGGATCTCCTTTTCTATGGACACAGAACTTGTAGTTGAACAGAGTTGTCTGACTGTCTCTTGCCAGTGAGTTTGCTGAGGGAATAAATGGTGGCAGGTCTTCCAGGAGAGGTATGAGGTGAGGTTCTGTGCTCTGTGGAGTCCTGGGAAAGGAGTTAGGCACATGAGCAAAGAGAGAGAAGAAATGGCTGCTGGGGTTGCGGGGAGGCAGATGAGGGGCCGTGTCTGTGAGCACCAAGATAGATGGCTGAGTCTGCTGCTGAGATTTGTAGTGGAGCATGAAATGTGCCTCTGTTGACCACTGGAGGTAGCTGATTGTCCTCCTTGACCTGGTTCCTGAGAACTCGGCTAGAACCTACTGACCTTGCCTCCCCTGCCTCCTTTCCTCCCTTCCAAGTCTGCAGTAAGCCTTGGATACTGGCAGGACCCTTCCATCTAGCATTTTGTAAGACTGTCTAAGGAGAGGGAGAGGAAGACAACCGAAATTCACAGATGCAAGTGATCCCTCCCTCCCAGTGTCCCCTCATCATCCCAGAGGCCTAAGCATTTAGGGATTCCTTCTTCAAAAGAGAGAGTTCCAGTGTTCACTCTCTCCAGTGGCATATGAAAGTGCTCATTTCCCAACATCCTTACCAACACAGTATATTAGGAACCTTTTCAGTGTTGTTAATCTGATGTGTGAAATATGGTACCTTATGGTAACTTTATTTTATATTCCTCTCATTTTGGGGGTAAAGTTCAAAATCATTTTATATGTTTAAGAGCCATTTATGTTTTACTGTGAACTGTTAAGTAAGGAATTATTTTCTCGACCTTAGTAAAATGATAGTAACACTATTAAGCTCTGCAGCTTCTAGCAAGCAGTGGAAGGATTTGAGAGGGGAGGGTGATTCATTCCCAATCACATTGAGAAATTAGCCAAATGACCCCAAGTGCTTGGGCATGCAGGGAATCCTGGCCCTAAAGATGGAGCCTATGGGTAGATGCTGTAAGAAATGCAAAGACACGGGGCGCCTGGGTGGCCCAGTGGGTTAAGCCTCTGCCTTCGGCTTGGGTCATGATCTCAGGATCCTGGGATTGGGCCCCACATCGTGCTCTCTGCTCAGTGGGGAGCCTGCTTCTCCCTCTCTTTCGGCCTGCCTCTCTCTCTCCTTGTGATCTCTCTCTGTGTGTGTCAAATAAATAAATAAAATATTAAAAAAAAAGAAATGCAAAGACAGTTTAAAGTGGTGGTCCCTGACAATAAGGACATGGACCTTACTTTGAGATGAGGGTGAACTAAGGCATTAGGAAGATGGTGCCAGGCCTGCCTAAGAGGCCTGAAGCCTCCCTCCTGGGCTCCTGAGGCAGCTTTTCTAACCAGAGGCAGGGACCCACCTTGGAGCCATGGGAGTTGGGTGCCCCAGGCAGCGTGTCAGTGGCCTGCCTTCCTTCTTCCCCTGCCTGGGCTGGTATCTCCACACTGCAGCCCACTAGGAGAGTGCTTCCCACATAGGGTGTGGTGAGCATCTTTTTAGTTTTTGTTTCAATATCCAGTCTGTTGTGGACAATATTCTATAACATAAAATAAAAATGATTTCCTAGAAACAAAATGCAAGATAACCTGTAAAGTACAAGCTCAAATTATTTATTAGGAGAATCAATACACATAGAACTCCTGTATCACATTGCAGTACATTTCTAAATGCTACTCAAATTTCGTTCTTAAGATAGTTCTACTTTAAGCAACAGGACTTTAGAACACAGATGTTATCTTCCTTTCCCCCTCTTTTATATTTCCTGTCTCCTTTGCCCCAGCTCCCCACCCTGGAGCTAAACAAGTCCATTTATTCAGCAACATTTGCTTGTGCCTTCCCCTCCTGCAGACTGTGAGGCCATTTTATAACCATAGAGGCTTTTACCCACAGAGGATGGAGATGAAGGAAACAGGGTCAGATGTAATGGCCTTTATTTATTTATTTGCTTCGACATTTATTGGCCCCATTTTGTGATTTGAAAATATTATTTCATCACTCTCTTGCATTTTGAGTTTTATCTGAGTCCTAAGTAGTTTGTACTTGGCCACGCAAAAGCATGTTTCGAAGAGGAACAATAAGATCTGATGTTTTGATGTAAAATACTTGTCTTTCCTATGTATCAATCATGGGACATTTTAATTTTTAGAGATTTTATTTATTTATTCCAAGGGAGAGCATGAGTGGGAGGGGCAGAGGGAGAGGGAAAAGCAGGCTCCCAGCTGAGCAGGGAGCCCAATATGGGGCTTGATCTCAGGACCCTGAGTTCCTGACCTGAGCCAAAGGCAGACGCTTAACTGACTGAGCAACCCAGGTGCTCCACAGGGCGTTTTATTTATAAAATCATAAATTCTACCATTACAGCATTAAATAGATTCTACTTACTTTGGTTGCAGAAGCTTTAAATTAAAAAGAAACAAAAGGAAAAAAAAGGGAAGAGAATGTGAAAGTCCCTATTTCTCCCATGAGTCCACACATAAATCACTGACCCCGAAGAAGAGCAGCAGAGGCCTCACTTGCTCTTCTCCTGGGGCGGGCTGTGCAGGGATGATTTCCGACCTCACTGAGCAATAGCTTGTCTCTGTGTCTCTCTCAGAATATTTTCCTCAAGTCCATTCTGTCAGGTAGCTGATAAAGGCATTTCTACTGAAGACAGAATGTCATCGTAAAGTTCTAAATTTAGGGCTGGGATGGAGACCACCTTCTGGAGATCAAAGGTAAATGAACATTCGCCCTCTTCCTTCCCGAAATGTTTCATTTGTGAAGGTGCCCGCCTGGTTCAAAATGTTAAAAATATATTCAGAGGGAATGCAGCAACCACCTGTCTCGTGCCTGTCCCCAGCAGCTTGCGCCTGCTGCCACTGCCAGCCAAGTACTTGATGTCACCAGGGCCCTGGTGAAGGATGGGTCCCTGGCTTCTTATCCTTTGCTGTTACAAACAGCAAAGATTTAAAAAAAAAAAAAAAGAAAGAAAGAAAGGAAACCCTTGTAGACATGTCCTCCGCATGTGTGGAAGACCCTGCCATTGGGATTGTGAGCCCTAGAGCCCCTGTGTCTGCCGTATTGACAATCACAAAGATTTTATGGTCATCGTGACAGTGTCTTCAGTACAGTTTAGAGATGTGCAAGCTGGGTGATAGTGATATGACACAAAGGCCTTTTGTAGCTATTCCCTGATTTGATCTCTCACCCGCTCTGTTAACAAGTAAGAACAGGTATAACTACACTCACTCACAGGAAAGGAGACAGGTCCGGTTTGTGGCAGAACAAGGACCAAATGGACTAAAGCTCCCACAAGAAAAAGCTAGATGCTTTTCCACAGTGGGCCAGGTCAGTTTTTTGACCTGCAAAGATTTCTCTCTGGGTTGGTGGCCAGGGCTTTGGCCTAGGCCATTTGCTGGGGGAGCGGATGGCAGTGAGCCTTCTTTCCTGGGCCACACCTTCAATTTCACCCAAAATGTGCTGAGGAAAGGAACTTTCCATGGCAATGACATGGACTTTGCTCATGTCAACTGGGCAGAGCAAGACAGCAACAGACTCTCCAAATGAGATCCTAACACTGGAGGCAGAAGTGACATACTAGAAGAATTTGTCCCAGTCGTCATCTCAGGGACCAAATAGATTAGACTCAAATACAGTCTGGAAACTGAAGAGCACCAGGGATAGAACAGCACTGGATGAGGGGGATGGATGACAACATCAGCTTGGCATGGTGCTATTGCAGAATGCCCATCAGGAGAAACTGGCAGACGTCAATGAAAGGCACTGCGAGCAACTAATTGAGTATCAAAAATGGGTGGAAGACCAGCAAAATCAAGACTTTGCTGGGAACATGAAAGATGACTTCCTTCAAGAATGGGAAACTGAGTTCAGAAGGTTGAAGCAACAACTTGCAGAGATGCAGCAGCTGAATGACAGTTTAATCAATGTTGCTTCTGATTGCAGAGCAAAACACCAAAAGTTGCTTTTGGAGCTCTAAGATGTAAGACATCAGCTGGAAGAATCTATTCTGTGGAATAATGAGGATTCTCTGGAAAACAAGATTGCTGTGAGGGCTTTAAAAATAGGGAAAGGAGAGTTACTAGCAAAACTGTGTGGGGCCAAAAAGAAGCTATTGGAAGAGACAAACAAGTCTGAGTGAAGTCTCAAAGAATTGTCACCAGTAGAGCATGCGCCTTTCGTTCAACTCGGTTAAGAGAAAGACCTGGAGATACTACACCTCCAAAAGAGGATCGAGCAGATGGAGTCCGACCATCAAGAAACGAAGGAACTGCTGTCCTCTGCCTTGGAGGAGCAGAAGCAATTGACACAATGCGTCAGAGAGCAAGACGTGTACATCAAAGAACTTAGAGAAAGGACAGAGCTTCAGGAGGAATTCGGTAAGTCGACCGGAACCTTAAGAAGCAATGACATTTTACAGCCATCCATGGAGGACAAAGACATGTGTCCCCCATCCAGGACAAACAAAAATCCCCATGTGAATGCAGACCTGGAGTGGCTAAGACAACAGAGTCTCACTGTCCCTGCGGTTGACCCTAAAATCCTAGTCAAGATCGTTGAACTCGAGTGTGAGGTATTTCAACTCAAGGAGTTAAAACATGATCTTGGGGTGCCTGGGTGGCTCCGTAGGTTAAGCAACTGCTGTTGGTTCAGGTTGTGATACCAGGGTCCTGGGATCAAGCCCCGTGTCAGGGTCCCTGCTCAGCAAGGAGCCTGCTTCTCCCTCTCTCTCTGCCTGCTACTCCCCCTGCTTATTCTCTCTCTCTTTCTCTCTCTCTCTCTGATACATAAATAAAATTTTAAAGAAGAGGATCTCGAGGAGGAAGTAAAAGAACAACCGAAGATCATTGGCAACCAGCAGCAGGGGAAGATAGGACTGCTGTAATCTTTACAAGAGCAGAAGCAGAAAGTAGACCATCTTCCTACTGACAGGAGATGAATGTTAAACACGCTCAGCTCCCTTCAGTAAAAGACGAGCAGATTCAGAATTTGCAAGACATGATAGAACAGATGAAAGCCTGGTTGCCCGACAAAAATCCTCCTGTGAACAAAGACCTGGAGCACCTGAAACAACAGAGTCACACTGTCCCTGTGGTTGACCTAAAATCCTAGACGAGACTGTAGAACTAGAGTGTAAGGTCTTTCAACTCAAGGAGTTAAGAGATGACCTTGAGAGGGAAATAAAAGAGCAACAGATCATTGACAACCAGGAGCAGGGGAAGGTAGCACTGCTTCAGTCCTTACAAGAGCAGAAGCAGAAAGTGGACCATCTTCAACACCAGCAGAGCAGAGGAGTACTGAAGATGCTCAGCTCCCTTCAGCAAAAGACAAGCAGATTCAGAATTTGCAAGAAATGATAGAACAGATGAAATCCCAACTGCCTGACAAAAGCCTACACATTCCAACAGAACACTGTGATGATGTTGAAGTGACAAGTCGGCCTCTTACTAGAGAGAATGGAAGTAAAAAACCACGATTTACTAAGAAGAGGAAGAAGTTTAGGGCACCTGGGTGGCTCAGTGGGTTAAGCCTCTGCCTTCGGCTCAGGTCATGAGCCAAAGGGTCCTGGGATCGAGCCCCATATTGGGCTCTCTGCTCAGTGGGGAGCCTGCTTCCGCCCTCTCTGCCTGCCTCTCTGCCTGCCTCTCTGCCTACTTGTGATCTCTCTCTCTGTGTCAAATAAATAAAATCCTTAAAAAAAAAAAAGAGGAGGATGAAGTTTAACTGTCACTTTTTTAAAGTGATCAAGGAGCATGAAGTCACTGAATGCACACCTACAGGAAACATCAACGTGGATTCAGAAATATATCAATTAAAGCAACTATAAGTGGAACTAGCTTTACGAGAATGAGAAGTAGTGCAAGGAGCTTAAATCCCAAGGCCATGCCAAGATACTGTGGGCATTGGAGTCTGCTCTACCTCTCAATGAGTATCTTGTGAGTTAACAAATGTCTTTCCCATTTAAACCAAATGGAGGGGTACCTAGTAGGCTCATCATTTGAGAGGCCAACTCTTGCTTTCAACTCAGGTCATGACCTCGGGGTCCTGAGATTGAGTTCTACATCAGGCACTTTCTCAGCGAGGGGCTGTTCCAGGATTCTCTCTCCCTCTGCCCCTCCCCAACTCTCTCTCAAATAAATGAATCTTTTTAAAAAAATAAGCCAAGGGGCGCCTGGGTGGCTCAGTGAGTTAAGCCTCTGCCTTCAGCTCAGGTCATGATCTCAGGGTCCTGGGATTGAGTCCCGCATCAGGCTCTCTGCTAGGCAGGGAGCCTGCTTCTTCCTCTCTCTCTCTCTGCCTGCCTCTCTGCCTACTTGTGATCTCTGTCAAATAAATAAATAAAATCTTTAAAAAAAAATAAGCCAAATGGAGTTGGTCTTCAGTTACTTATACCCTGAAGCAGCCTAAGTGATATTCTAAGTGTATTAACTCATTTCCATTTCCTTGATGAGTAAGCTCAAAGCAGGAGGGTGTGTGTGTGTGTGTGTGTGATGTCACGCAGCCCAGTTCTGAGCTCACAGAAGCAGACAGATATCATATCTTCTCTTCATATCCACTGACAAAGCTTACTGCTGCCTTCACTGCAGTCGGTGCTAATGCTGTACAAACATGTCTCCCCACCGCATCCATGTTTCCATGTCAGCAGACACCTGTAAAAAAGCACATACTGTTGGTGACTCAAGGCAGTAACTCAACACAGAAACACACTAAGGGACAAAATTACCTACAAGCCCAGATTGTCCAAGGAAAACTGACCCACAGAGTTTTAAAAGAGTAAACAGGATCTGTTGTCTAAAACAGTGCTTTTCAAACAAAGAATTGCTACCCATCCATGTTAGAAGATCAATGTGGTTAATAAACTAAATAGAGTCAGACCCAGAAACATCTTAAGTGTTACCCAGAACACATGACCTCCTTTCCCTTTGCTTGATGAGTAAGCTGAAAGGGGCAGGGTTTGTGTGCGTGTGCCTGTGTATGCACATGTGTGTGCAGGGTGTGTGCGTGTGTGTGTGTGTGATATCACCCTACTCGGTCTGAGTTCCCAGAAGCAGAGAGCCTGGAGCCCTCATAAACTCCTGATTTGTGAAGTGATAATGAGTTTCAGGAGAAACTAAAAAAGAGGAACCTGAACATGCCATCCTGGAGGGAAATTACTAAAGTCATCATAAAGGAATATATACAGGAGGAATTTCCTTCCCACCCCCCAACTCCAGTAACAGAACAAAAGGAGGGAAGAATTGCTACTGTGCCAGGGCAAGTGGCATTGTCACCATTGGCTCCACCATCCTACGAGAAGGTGCCATTTAGTGAAAAGGATGAAAAATCATGCCATCAGCCATTCAAAAAGGCCTCACTGAAGCAAAGCAAGCAGGAGACTTAGATGCCTTACATTTTAATTTCCTAGTTACTGTTAGAGAACATGTCACTCCAGGACATGATCCCAACAACCCTCATGGTATCTATGAGGCCATGCATGAGCCATTTCCCTTCAAGTTATTCAAGGAATTAAAACAGGCAGTACAAAACTATGGAGTTAATTCCCCATATACAATGGGAATCATTCAAGGCATCTGAGAAGAAAATCCACTTATTCCGATTGATGGGTTATTACTAGCAAAAACAGTCTTATCTTCAAGTGAGTTTTTAAAATTTAACATGGTGGCAAGATCATGCAGAAACAGCAGCTGCCCATAACACAGCTAATAATGTTCCTGTTTCCATGGAGCAGCTCATGGGCATTGGGCCATGGGCCTGGGTGCAAGATCAAGTACTAATGAATGATCAAGCTATTGAGCAGCTCCAAGGTTATTGTTTGAGAGCCTGGAAGAGAAGAGAATCCCAAGGAGAGAAGTGCTCTTCTTTTCAAAAAGTGGTACAGGGTCCTAAAGAACCCTATACTGATTTTATTGCAGGATTACAAGAAGTATTAAAAGATAAATTAATCTCAAAGATGCTGATACAATTCTTCAGCTATTGGCATATGAAAAAGCCAAGGCTGATTGTAAAAAACTGATCGCACCCTTTAAAGGCAAGGAAACATTAACAGACCATATTAAGCTATGCCAAGGAGTGGGAACAGAGACCTATAAAGCTGATTTGTTAGCTCAAGCAATGGCTTCTCTGACCACAGGAAAATTTAAAGGACAGTGTTTCAACTGTGGGCAGACACAGCATCCTAAAGCTCAATGTAGGCAACAAGGAAAATTCTCCCTGCGAAATGCAAGACATGAGCCACCAGATCTCTGTCCTAAATGTAAAGAAGGAATTCATTGGACAAATCAATGTCATTCCAAATTCCACAAGGATGGATCCCCCTTCAGGGAAACTTACTTTGGGGCAAGCCTTCAACTCCACAAAACAAGGGGGCCAATTCACCCTTAGCACCCAGCTTTCAGACAAAGGTATAATTTTAAATTTATGTAGTGCCGGATTAGATATCCCCATTCCCAAAGATCATCTCTTAATGCCTGCCAAGCTTCCCACTAAAATTCCAAATAATTGTTGGCCCTTTACCAAAGGGAACCACTGGGTTACTTTTGGGACGAGCTGGCCTCACCTCAAAGGGAGTATTAGTCCACACTGGCATTATTGATTTGGATTACACCAGTGAAATTACAGTGACAATAACTACTGTAGCTCCATACTGTTTCCAAAAAGGGGACTGCACTGTCCAGTTGCTACTTTTACCCTATTTCCAGGGTCAATTTAAAAACATGGAAAGACAAAGAGGCGACCCATGGAATGGGAGAATATATTCGCAAATGACACTACAGACAAAGAACTGATCTCCAATATCTATAAAGAACTCCTCAAACTCAACATTCAAAACAAACAAACAGATAATCACATCAAAAAATGGGCAGAAGACATGAACAGACACTTCTACAAAGAAGACATACAAATGGCTAACAGACACATGAAAAAATGTTCATTATCACCAGCCATCAGGGAAATTCAGATCAAAACCACATTGAGATACTACCTTACACCAATTAAAATGGCCCAAATTAATAAGACAGTAAACAAGCATTGGAGAGGATGTGGAGAAAGGGGAACTCTCTTATATGGCTGGGGAGAATGCAAATTGGTACAGCCACTTTGGAAAACAGTGTGTAGATTCCTTAAGAAATTAAAAACAGAGCTACCTTATGGCCCTGCAATTGTGCTACTGGGTATTTACCCCAAAGATACAGAGGTAGGGAAAAGAAGGGCCATCTCTACCCCAGTGTTCACAGCAGCAATGACCATAGTCGCCAAATTGTGGAAAGATCAAAGATGCCCTTCAAAAGACAAATGGATAAAGAAGATATGGTCCATATATACAATGGAGTATTATGCCTCCATCAGAAAGGATGAATGAATACTCAACTTTTGAATCAACATGGATGGGACTGGAGGAGATTATGCCGAGTGAAATACATTAAGCAGAGAGTCAATTATATAGTTTCACTTACTTGTGGAGCATAAGGAATAACAGGGAGGACATTGGGTGAAGGACAGGAGAATAAGTTGTGGGAAATCAGAGGGGGAGATGAACCATGAGAGACTATGGACTCTGAGAAACAAATTGAGGGACTGGGAGGGAAGGGGGGAAAGGGGTTGGGAGAGCCTGGTGGTGGGTATTAAGGAGGGCACATATTGCATGGAGCACTGGGTGTAGTGCATAAACAATGAATCTTGGGACACTGAAAAAAATTAAAAATAAATAAAAACATGGAAAGAAACTCTACTGGGTTTGGAAGCACTGGAAAAACTGGGGCATATTTGATTGAGAAAATTTATATAAACTGATCTGCCATGTTAAAATACAAGGAAAAGAATTTTGGGGTCTCATTGATACTGGAGCTGATGTCTCAGTCATAAGCTCATTATATTGGCTTATTATCCAGGAAGAACTAATCATAGAATGGATTTTTCTTCCAAATAATACTGTTAAAACACTCACTACCTATATAGACCGTTTTGGGAGCATTATTCAGTTGGGAAGAACAGAAACTCATCAAATACAGGGATACGATCCAAAGGTTATTGTTCTGCCTTTAAATAAAATACAAACTGAAACAGCATTCCAGAATAATTTAAATTGGCAAATTGCCCTCAGTGCTTTTACTGGAAGCTCATCCTCTCATGACCCCTCTTTACCTATTACTTCATTTCTAAAGCACACTGCTTTTGTGCTTCCTAAAATTACCTCTAAAAATCCAGGAACAGACGAACCTACTCACTGTTCTGATGGCTCTATCAAAGGCAAACCCTGTTATTATGGTCTTACCTCAAAAATCCTATCTACTACTGGTCTCAGCACAAAAGTCACAATTAATGGCAGTTACTATGTTATTTCAAGATGTTTCTCCTGCATTTAATTTGTTACCTGATTCTTTATGTACAGTGTATGTTTTACAGCGTATGGAAACTGCTGCTATTTCTTACATCTGATGTATTATGCTGGCCCTCATCACGGTAGCCATAAGTC